ATCAGCCCACTGTAGCTCGAGGCGTACTGCTCCAAATCCTGCAAACAAGATCTGCTCTTAAAAGGTGAAGATGCAAAACAAAATCAGGCTACTACTTTGTGACCTGCACAGGTTTGCCTGCAGCCCTGACCCCTCTATGGAGAGCAACACGACTCAGACAAATGAAATATCAGGTAAGCTTATTCCATTTTCATTTTCTTCAAAGGTTAGCAATTTCCTCAGAAACATGCAGTACATCACAATTTTCCTTTCTTTATTTCAGGTGTGATGCTGTCCATAAGGCATCAGATCATCCATTGTAAGCATCAGCTGAATCACCTGCTAGTAACTTTATCAAGTTTCCATCATTGGAGCTGAAGTTTCCTAAACCAGAAAGCCATTCCAAATGTGGTTCTTCCTTGAAAAATAATTAAAACCGGTTTCTATATGACAGTTTGCATTCTTTTTTTCCCACTAATTTCTTAAAATATCTCCTCTGAGAACATACAGGATCTTTTACTCTTGAGGAAGGATTTGAGTTTTAAATTCTGAACACTTAACAGATTTTAAGCCTTGGGGTGGAAGGGAGAAGAGAAGCACAAAATGACTAGTAAAGATATGATACAGCATGGCAGGGAGCTTGCCTGAAGTCAGAAGTCCACATGCAAGCAACTATAGCAGAGTGTTCAGGGCAAAGTCAAGCATTTAGTCAGTAGGAGAGACCCAATGCAGGTTGCCTGCCTACATCTAATACACATCCTGTGTCATGTCTGACCCCCTCACCCCTGCATGTCTAAATTAAGATACCGTTACAGATGTCACGGTAACATTTTCTAACATGAATGACCTTGCTCTGAGATTTAAACACCATCGTGTGCACTGAAAATTTGTGTTTAGGATTCCTGCTTTATTTGCCTCATAACTTCAAACATATAACATGAGTATTCTTTCTTCCACAATTTCATGCCTGATGGCGTGCAATACTCCTGAAATACCCAAGTAATTTCACTTCACTCTTCAGCTCTTTGAATGTCAAAGGGTAATTATGGTCCCTCACATAAGTTACAGTGAAAAGAAAATTGCTAAGTTTTGCGGCACACTAGATCTATAGCAATAGCAAAGACAAAGGTCACAACATAACTGCTTCATCACTCTAGCTTCAGAACAGAATTGAAATGCAATGAAATCAAACAAAGTATCAGGTCATAGCTAAAAACCAAACCAAACAACAAACAAAAAAGACCAAACTAACAAATCAAACAAAAAACACTAAAAAAGAGAGTTGTGCAGTACAGAGTGAGTAACCATGTGACAATTGCTAATTACGCACAGGGAGAAGAGGAACCATTTAAAGCTCCAGAAGTTATGTGAGATCCAAAGCTTCCTAACTAAATGCTTTATTTTGCAATTTTAATGTTGCTTTAACTTTTTCAATCAATATTTTTGTTCTCTTCTGCAACAACCATCTCTCAGTGTTACAGAGCTAATACATAAAAATTGCTCTAAGTATCAAACAGTCAAAAACAAACTAAAAATTGAAGAAACTGATACGAGCAAATACAGCCTTTTATAACTCTACAGTTCTGTGGGCTTTAGTCAGTCTCCAGAGGATCAAACAATGAAAGAATTAAATCCTGATTTATATACTTAAAGCACCTGAGCCTTGCTCCTCAAAGACCAAGCCTCAAAATACAGGAATTACGCATCTCTAAGTAATCAGAGATGGACTAAACTATCTCAGAACGGAAACTGTCTCAAACAGGCAGCAAGCAGGAAGTCACAAAGCAGCGATTCCTCCTTCATCTCAGAAAGTTCAGTAAAGGTCAGTACGCGACTAGGAGCTACAGAGGAGATCATGGCTATTCTTACCCCACCTTGCTTTGAAGAGAATCTGTTAATCTCTACATAACAATTTGATAAGGAGTAAAATGAGGGTTTTTCTAAAACCTCAAAGGAAGAGTCCATGCCCAAGAAATGTAATCCACTAGCCCTCAACCAGCACATACCAGAGTGGGGTTCTCCACCACATAGTTGATATCAGGTGCATTTTGCTGATCTTCTTGTGGATCTACGTCAATCTGCATGGGTTCTACTGCACCCTAGAAATGCAAAATGAAGTGAAAAGTAGTTTATTACATTTGGGCAAAAAAACCCTATGTGATTCAATCTATTAAGAACTTGCTTAAATACACATTCATTTTTTAAATGAAAAAACACTCCTCAGTCTTTGGACATGTTTAGCATTTTTCTCTAGCAATACCACTACTCAGCACCATGCTTTGTCTCAAACAAGCAGCACTAAGGCTCAGCATTCCCACAGAACATCTTATTTTGTTTGGTAGATTATTAGGCAAGACAGTGAAGGGGTCAATAAATCTGGTTCTACAAAGTATCTCAGGCATGCACCCTAAATGCCATATATTGTTGCATTTCTCTTCCTTGAGCAAGTGCAGGCATTAACATTCAGCTCAAGGAGCTCCAGAAATACCCCAAAAATCACAAGAACCTTTCAAAGGGGCTTTACTCAATGCTTAAAAGTAGTTGTTGGGTATTTTTCGGGGGGGGGGGGGGAGGGGGGTGGGGGTGCAGAGACAAAAAAAAGATGACAACTGTTACACTTTTAAGAGTATTAAAAAAATGTAAAGAACAGAATGCAGAATGATAATTCCAGAGATCCTAACAAATACTGGGGAAAAAATAATTATCAGTTGAACTATCCCACTATCTGAGTCCAACTGGTCACACAGACTGTCCTTTGCAGAACAGCAGAATTTTTTTCTCCCAGTATATCTTGCACTGCTTTGAACCAGTTCAGTGACATCAGTACAGCTATATCAAGACAATGCCTGCAGGTCTTCCCATTTAAGAAGTAACCTGGTTAGCACTTGGATGGGAGACCGCCTGGGAATACTGGCTGGGGTTAAACCATGACAAAGACCAATTTACTATACAGTCCCACAAACAAAACCGGCATGCTAGCATGAAATTCTTTTCCTTCTCCTAGTCAAAAGTGTGCTGAACATTCATTCCATATATTATTTTCCTGATTTGATCTCAGGAAAAACATGCTGAATTTGTGCAGATATTGCCATAAGCAACACCTGATTCGAAGCAAATTGTACAAGTGGGCCTTAGAAAAGACAAAACCACCTTGTCCCCACCAACACCAAATTATTTCCATGGTTTAATCGATTTTGTTGTCTGTTAAGAAATAAATTATTAGAGGGATTTGGGGGTTGGGTTGGGGTGTGTGTGAAGAGAAACAGGGCAGCTCTAAAATTTGATCCATCTTGTATTCCCCCACAGCCTGCTTATTCTTTCACAGACTGGTATGTACCAAATATGTACATATCTCAACACGGATGTGGGTCTCCCAAAATCTAAAGTAAAGCATATAAATGTCTGTTTCCTAGCTTGGTATAGTAAAGAATACGATTCTCTGCATGAAGGAAAGAGAGGAGGATGCAAAGGAGAGTTTGACTGTTCAGATCACTACCCAGGAAAACCGTGCATATAAACATTTAAGACATCGTACATTGAGACCATTACTTTTTCCATTTTTATCTACCTTATCTCTTTTCTTATATCAGAAACACTAAGTGTCAGGGTTGGTTTTTTTTTAGGCTGTGTTTGCCTACCATAGGAAAAACCTGATATGGGCTCCTTAGAAGAAATCAGCATTACAGAAATTAAGAGTAACTCCAGCTGGTGGAACAGAATGATTTGTGTCCTGCTGCGCTGGTAGGCTGTACTCTGCCTTTCTCTCTTAACTCCCAGATAAGGAAAACCACAAGTGGGCTGGAAGCCCCACTAGGACAGGCAAACTCAGGCATTTTCAAGCTAAGTCTTTATTTTGGAAGATGCAAAGTTCAATTAAGAACTACTCCAGCCAATAAAATAATGCTCCTTCCCCAAGATTTCCTGAGCCCAGCAAGGCACCCAGTTGGAAAGTTCCTCACAAGGCCTCATACAGGCCGATTCTCCGGCGTTCCCCTGAAGTCTCCGACTGTACTCACGAAAAGGTGCGACCTACTGCGGGGGTGCAGTCCAGACCTGCCACTGATGAAGAAGCTGAGCTGGATTCTGAACTATCCCTCATTCTGTCCCGACTTCCTGCAACCCTGTGCCCTGACAGAGAACTTGCTAGCTGCTAAAGGAAAGAGAGACCGTTAACTCGCAAAGGGATCACCTGTGCTGTTACTGAAGGTCCAGGCTCTGTACACCGACCCTCTCTGGGTTCCTGCGGCTTTCCCCCTGCACTGCCGACTCTCAGTTCCTCTTCATCGCCACCTCGGTATACCCTGCGCCACTACCCAGGCCCTACCTACGGCACATACAACGCGGAAATCAAGCAAGGGGGCCGCTGCGGCGGCGAGGAACGCCGTGGGCGCCGGCAGACTCTAGGCTGGGCGCTGTTCACTGCGATCGCCAGCGGAAGCGACACAACAGACCCGGCGGAAGGGCGAACGAGGGCCTAGGGCCGGCCGAGAGCGGCTCCCCTGCCCGCCAGGCAGCCACGGGCGCGCACCCGAGGGGGAAGGCCGCACCGCGCCACCCAGGGGGGCGCGGCAGGGCCAGGCCGCGCCGCGCCATCGAGCACCGCGCGGGAGCAGCGCGGGAGCGGGAACGGCGGCGGGGGGAGGCGGCGGCTGCCCCGTACCTGCAAGTTAAAGACCTGGACGGGCAGCGGCATCCTTCCCCTCGCGGCTACCACTTCCGGTTGACCTCCCCGCCTCTCCCCCCGCTTCTGCTTCCACTTCCGGCCCGCGCGGCGCCGCCGAACCGCGTCCGACAGGTGAAGCCCTTAAAGGGGCCGCGGCCCGTCTCGCCTCTGCCGCCGGAGCCCCGGGCGGCGGCGTGGGGGACTCCCGTCGCTGTGGGGCCCGGCCGCGCTCGCCGGCCCACGGTGCCCGGGGCGGACCTCTGCCGCCGGTCAGAGTGGCTCGGGGTGCCCGGGCGCTGCCCTCTGTCGGCCGCGGCGACCGCCTGGCCGGGACCGAGCGCTGCTGGGGAGAGCGGGAGGCGCGGCCGGGCTCCCGGCGCCGGCCCGCCCGGACCCGACGCCTGCCTGCGGGGCCATGAGGCGGCCGCGCAGCGCGGCGCGGGCCCGCGGGGCTGCAGCATGAGCCCCTGCCTGGGGCTCCGCAAGGCCTGCTTCCTGCTGTCCGTTAGCGCTGCCGCCCTGCTCCTGCTCCTGTTGCCGCGGGGGCAGCCCCCCGGCGCGCCCCGCCGCCGCCCTCCGCCCGCCGCCGGGTCGAGCAGGCCCCCGCCGCAGCGGCCGGTCTCCGGAAGCAGCGCTGTGTCCGGCACGCGGACGAGCTCTCGCGGGGAGCCGGGGCACGGGGCTGGAGGCCTCGCCGGCAGCTCGCAGCTCGTGCGGAAGAGCCGCCCTGGGACCGCCGGGGGCTCGGGCAGAGAAAGCCTGGAGCTGAAGGACATCTTCATTGCCGTGAAGACCACGAGGAAGTACCACAAGAGTCGGCTGGACTTGCTGCTTCAGACCTGGATCTCCCAGGCCAGGGGACAGGTGAGCCGGGGCGAGCGGCCGGGGCCTCGCCCCGGGGCTTTCCCGGGCGGCAGCTGCGTTTTCTCCTTGTGCTTGTTGAAATCCTCTTTCCTAGGGAGACTGGGGAAGGTCTCAGCCTACCTCCAAAAGAGTTCATCGTTGTTTGAGGTAGTTACGTGCAAGCTGGGATCAGTGGTCCAAGCAGAAGCAGTTTGCTGACTTTTGTATGACTGGAAAATGCTACAGGATAGTGAAAGATCCTGAGTGCTGGCACATCTAAGTGGAAGTTTTGTCTAAGTAGTTCAGCGACTTAGGATTTCCATAGAATAATGTGGAATTTGTTCCCTTGTTTGGGAATTTCAGTCCATTCAAGCATGTTAATGTTTTGCCCAGCAGTTGGAACAAGACTGTTACCACCAGGACCTTTCCACCCTTTCTTTCCTTTCTTTTAGCTTGCTTAACACCTGAGGATGACTCTTAGCCAAAGAGAGGGCATGGAGTTGCAGAGGGAGGGAGGTATTACAAAAAAAATCAGTCATTCCTATATGGAAATGAGCTGTCTGTAGCCCTAGCTGAGGGAAGTAAAATCTTGGATGCTGAAATGAATTATTATTTTACTGAGACTCTTCTGTTTGCAGTGTAAAAGCTTATCAAATAAGGCAGGGGGTAGAGTTGCTGGGGTTCTCCCCACCCCATTTCCGATGGCTACTGTTAACTAACAAGAGAGAAACCTTCTGACTTCTTACTGCAGATGACCAAAGCTGGAACTAGTTTCTGAAATTCTTGAATACGGACAAACCATTTTTGTCTTCCACAGACATTTATATTCACAGACTGGGAGGATCGGGAGCTACGTCTGAAAGCAGGTAAGCTGTGTAGTGTAGGTGCATGCTGTCTGCTAGAGCTGAGTGTTGTCTCTGTCATACTTGCCCTAGAAGTTGTTCTTTCATGCTGTACAAGCAATTAGGGAAGTTAAGATAGAGAAAACTTCTCCTTTCACAGGAGAATATGCTGCTCCTTCTTACCACCTGGACAAGATGCCTGGAACTTCCTGAATACTGGGTTCCCCTTTGCACCCACTTCCTTCTTCTTAGTAATGTTAAGTCTATCTGTTTCAAAGTTATATTAGGTATTTCCTTTGCATACAGTCTCATGGCACTATTCACATACCCTGTACTCACATTTTTATGTTCTGTACAGCCCACATGCCATATGCATAACCCATAAGACCTGTCCTGCAGTTTACTCTCCATTTGTGCACCATATGCGCTTCAGATGTACTGTATTTGTGCCAAATGTGCCCTTCTTTTGTAGTCTTTTCTGGACTATGCATGCTTCTCAAACCTGAAAGAGCTGGTCTCTGATTTTCTAGGGGATCATATGATCAACACCAACTGTTCCGCTGTCCACACCCGGCAAGCTCTCTGCTGCAAGATGTCTGTGGAATATGATAAGTTCCTGGAATCTGGGCAAAAGTAGGTGAAACACATTGTTCTGATTGACTTTGTTTCTTCCAGTTCTGTATTCACAGGAAACTTTGAATAACCACCTCTGGTCCAGTAAGGAGTGCAGCATTAGCTAGAATGTAGTAATGAGCAGAGGGAAGAAGCACAGTATGAAGCCGTGTTTGTAAACCATCATTATCTGAAACATGGAAAAGACGATAATCTAAAGAGGGTTATTCATTTCAGCCTCTTTCCAGAATTAGAATCTGTGGGTGCTTTCATCTTGCAAAGTTTGTCATTCAAGACAATGGGAAATACTTTTCTGCTCCAAGCATGGAAGACTAAGACTCAGCTGTTAAACCTGTAACTCGTTTCTTTGCTCTGCGTAACTTTCTTATTTTGTTTTATTTGAAGATGGTTTTGCCATGTAGATGATGACAACTACGTGAACCCTCGGACTCTCCTGCGTCTCTTATCTGCCTTCTCACACAGCCAGGATGTCTACGTGGGACGACCAAGCCTGGACCATCCCATTGAAGCAGCTGATCATGTCCAAAGTGATGGATCAGTAAGCAAACTTTGCAGTTAGTCTGAAAGACATCCTGACCTTCTAAGCTTTTAAAACCTTGAGAGTTTGTAGGATTCCCTGATAAAAACAAGTTATATAATCTGTAAGCAACAAACCTGGTGGTTTTTCAGAGGTAGGGTCCTGGGTTAAATGAATCTTCAGTCTGACCTCCTGTGCGTATGTATAATAGGTTTGTTTCCTGGGTGGATGTCTGTTTCTCTTCCTTTACTCAGGTATGTTGATGAACTCCAACAGTATGTGATATCCAGTTGAACCTCAGGTTTCCTTCCCTGTTCAGCCAAATGGGAAAATCTGATCATCAGTAACTACTGTGTGTTTTTCTTATTGTTCTTCAGAAGACAACCGTGAAATTCTGGTTTGCCACAGGTGGAGCAGGATTCTGTATCAGCAGAGGTCTTGCTCTGAAGATGAGTCCCTGGGCCAGGTAAACACTGCTCCTAGCTGACCTCCATCAACATGTGTGTGTTAGGTTTTAAAGCATATTTCATCTCCTGTGCTCCTTCTCACAGCTTGGGTAATTTCATCAGTACTGCAGAAAGAGTGCGTCTTCCTGACGACTGCACTATTGGCTACATCATTGAAGGGCTGCTGGAGGTAAAGCTGCTGCATAGCCCATTGTTCCATTCCCATCTGGAAAATCTGCAAAGACTACAAGGCGAGTCTGTGCTGCAGCAGGTAGGGAAGCCTCATGTTTTGTTCTTATAATTACATCTCAATCTGATCACAAAGAGTACTCTCCATAAACTTAGCACTCTTCAGCAAAGAAGGATGTCTGCAGACTTGGTCTGTGCCCTGGGAGCTGTGTCCCATCCAGTTTGTTCAGTTAGGTAAAAAGCACACTTTCAGCTTAGCCAGTTAGGTCATACAGCAGTGCCCTCCTTTGGGGATATGTTCTGCTACATTGAGCCCTGATATGATGCTTCCATCTCATTCTAAACTCTGACTTTCCATGAGTCACAATAGGAGCAAGTGTAGAAGGGGGCAGTACTTAGTTTACTTACTATGAAAGAAAGTATTTGTGTCTTTGCCTAACAAAATCTCAGTCTTAATTCATGCTATTCAAAAAGACTAGTGTAGCAGCTGTATCAAGTACCTCTTCAACAGCTAAGACATAGTTAAATGTCTGATCATTTTTAAGAATAATTTGTCTGAATCTCAAGAAACAGAATCAATGTTTCTAGGAAAAAAAACAAGTATTTTTAATTGCTTGGATACCTTTTTACTCATGGGCAGTAGATGGAGCTGTAAGGCTATTCAGAGGTTTTGCCTTTTGCTGTTTGGCACCATAAACAAAAGGGAGTGTGGTTTTGCCCCTGCAAACTGCTTGGCTACATTTTCCTGGCAATTGTATTAGGCAGCAGAAGCGTACACCTAGGGCCAAATTCCAGCAGCATGTAATCTCCTTCACACTAGTGAATTTAACTGTAGGCTGAATACAGCGTTGCATTGATGATCATTGTTTCCCTGAAGCTGTAACAGCTGACCCAAAATCCAGAAAATTTGCAATCAGAAAGAAACTGTGAGTCATCGTGTACCTGGCACCTGAAGATTTCTTAATGCAGGGCTTCTGTGGTAGAATAGCACCAAATTGGAGTTTGAGTTATAAATGTTGCTGCCAGGTTTGTCACATGGGAGTCCTTTGCATGCCATTTAACAGCCAAACGTTTCTATTTTCCCTCTGTGCTAAGACACTACTATTGCAGATTTCAGGCAATGGCCAGTGAGGATGAACATATATTATTTGGTGAAGATACAGGTATTAGTGGAATTAATGCCCTTAGAAAGCTGCTTATAACTCATCCTTCAGAGCAATGCAACTTTCAGCTCCTTCGTTTATTCTTCCACGTTGCCTTTAAGTGAGCTGTGGTCCATTTGATAGCTACTGTTCAGTGCCAGTATTGCTTATATTAAAACTAAACACTGTTTTTCAGATGTAATCCACAGTTCAGATTAGACAGGATCCTTGTCTTTCCTTATACCTCATGAATAATCCTACTGTCCCCACTGTTCTCTGCATTAGTGTTAAAATCTTGAAATTTTATTTACTTTTACAGGTAACCCTAAGTTACGGAGACCCTGAGAACAAACACAATGTTGTGAGTGTGGGAGGAGTGTTTGGCCTTCAGCAAGATCCAACACGGTGAGTGTCCACTTCCAAAACAAATTCTCCCTACCTTGTTCATGTTTATCAACTGTAAGATGTTCAGACCCACTTCTGGGGTTATTTTCTCAGGTCAGCTCTCATTACTGTGCCAAAGGCAGATAGACCCACTCTCTCTGCTCAGACTGCTACACATTCAATACTAGTATGCTCCCTGTATGGAGAATTCCAATCTAATTTTTTTCCCCTCTCTTCATAGATTCAAATCTGTCCATTGTCTGCTCTATCCTGACACTATTTGGTGCCCTGCTAAGAAGATGTCGTAATTCTTGTCCAGTCATTGACACCTGTATCTTACCTAGTTTGCATAAGATGGGAGTTGTGGTGGACTTTCTGTGGTGGTTTTTCTTCTTCTGGAAGACAACCAGAGGTATCTACAAAGGAGGTAGACAGACTGTTTACAAAAGCAGCTGTTCAGCTGCAGCCTGGGACATTCCAAGAAGAATCCTTGTTCTTCTGTGTAGCGGCTCTTTGCATATGTGTTCGAGTCACTTCACACTTTCATCTGATGCCATGTGAATCTGTGCTTGGACACACGCTAGGCAAATGCAGTACTTGCAGTGTTAGCATTCTTACTGCTGCTAGGGGCTTTTAGAGGCCACTGTCTTGAAGCTGGAGTGCTATAGCAGACTGTAGTCCCCATGGTGACAAGAGGGGAAGTTTTCACTCATCTTTCTTGGGAACAGAATTATTTAAGAGCTTCTATGGCCTGACATATTAAAACTGCAACTGTGGGCCAGAACAGGGTCTGTAAACACCAGAAATCCTGGAATCACTAGGGTAAAAAAGGCTGAAAGCTTTAGTCATGGGAAAACTCATGTAAGAGTAAGCTTACTCAGGACTGGATAAGAGTTGCTTGCATGCATGTTCTCCCCTGTAGTCCATGTGTACCTCCCATGGAGGTGATTGTCAGACTTGTCTCTCTTACCAGCTGAATTGCAGTGGTTGTTGATTATGATGGTGGTCTGTCAGATCCAAGCCTATTCCCTTGATGTTTGATCCTGAAGAAGTATTTGCCAGACTACATGGTAATCATCTCTCCTGTGTTGCCCACAGCAGGTGGTATGAGCTAGAGCATGATCGCTGGCTGAGGAAACACCTTGTTTCTGATGCTGTGCAGTGTCTTTTGCTGTCTGTGAGGGAGGGGGGATGCTCAATAGCAGTTAATGCCCTAAGGAAGTTTTTGATGGTATCATTTGAGGACCTTTAATTGTATGACTGTGATTACTCCAGTTTGTTCAGATAATCTGTTGATTACCCTAAGGTCTAGATCAGTGTTTATTAAATGTTTCAATAAACAGTTCATGCTGTCCCTAACAGGAGACTGTACAAGCACAAAGGCGGAAGTTCAGTGCTGCTGCTTTTTAAATTAAGTAACCTTTGTTTAGAAAGTGGAAGAAATGGAGCTACATTTGTTCCTTTGCTGTTAGCCCAAACTTTGGCCATGTCAATCATACCTGACATGAAGAACGATATAAAAAATGATTCTGCAAAACCTCTGTTTATTCTCACAAACTCCTCAGAAAATACTTGCTAGATTAGTGCTAGAGTCCGGGGCTGAGTTAACGGGTGAATAATAGAATGGCATTGTGCAAACTGGAATTGTGGTTCTGGGCTAGAATGTGGACCTAGCAACAGTTCCAGATTTCTGAACAGCTGAAAAGTGGTGTCATGCAGGCAGAGGCCTGCAGGGGATCCAAGTATGAAACTGAGCAGTGGTGGCAGTGCCCTGCCACACACTGCTCCCCACACTCTTGTTTTTAACAGAAACTTGTCAGTGCCTGCCTGGGTACAGTGTCCTCTCTGCATGATTTTAGTTAATTCCACTGAGGAGCAAACAAGATGATGCTACTTGCTCCAGTCCTGCAGCTCATGCTTAAATTTCTCCTTCATGTCGACTAAGGTGACCATGAGGTATTGGAGTAAGAATGCTGCAGGGAATTGGCTCCAAGTCCAGCTTAGCACAGTGGCTGTTCCAGAACAGTTACACCTGTAACTCTAACAGCCTGTTCAGAGGAGGACTTGTGGAATTCCAGGCTGTGGAATGTTCTACCTCTTTATTAGGTCTTCTGCTCACTAGAACTGAGGTGTCCTGTGGTTTTAATGATTTGTCGTTAATGGCTCTGGAGATTCCTGGTATCTGCAGAAACTTTTTTTTTTTTCTTTTCCTAAGCCTTGTTTTCAACAATGTTTCAATAATGTTTTCAACAATTCTGGTTTTCAGTCTCCTGTAGCAGAAAGCCATGAAACTTCATGAGTTCTTGATAAGGTTTTGCCTTCAAACACTGATTCTGCACTCTTCTGTTGGAGCCTTTCTTTCTCTTCCCCTGACAACAGCTCTTGTAAGGTATCACAGCCAGCACGGACTGAGTCATGATTGTGGCAAACTTGAGTTCAAAAATAACTATATGTGGATGGCAGCAAAACTGAGTAGTACAAGTTGAAAACTGTAGTCACTGGTCACCCTGACATACCTAGTTTAAAGAGCTGCCATACTCTAAGCTGGTAGGGTGTTTCTTAAACAGAGAAATGACCACGTTCTCCTGCATGGCAATACAGAACTGTTCAATCTGTCAGACTTCTAAGGTTTCTTGTGTTGACAATGCCTTAGGCTGTGTGGATACATTTGGATGCAGCTTTTTAATCAAACTACTGTCTCATACATAAAGTGATTCTGCAAAATAAATATTTAAATATGTCAAAGCCTGGTTTGTAATATTTCTTTACATATTCTCTATTCCAAAAGAGGACCATAAGCCTGCAATCCAGAAAGCGACATCCTCCTACCAGGCTCTTGTAATGCCAAATGGCTAAAAATCGTGTGAGTTACATGACTTGGATGTGCACAGGAACAGACACGGATGAGAAGAATCCTGGCACAATCTAATGATTAACAGAGTAAAGTAAAAGAATTTAAAGAAGAACTAAGTTAATTGTTGTAAACTTGTCTCTTGCACTTTCCTATTCTGTTTCTGCACTTACTAAATATGCTGCAGGAGCTCTTAAATTTAAGAGTCCTCAGCAATGATTGGATTGGGTAGTATTACTGCTTCTCTGCAGTTACACAATGCCAGCTCTGTACATCAGGCAGTGCAACTGCCATGCTATCACTGGAAATAAACCGTGGTGTAGTAGCTTATCTGTGACCTCTTGGCTAGTTCTAGCCTGTTTGTCTGTTGTACCTTCTAGTACGTTGCTGTTGTCACACAGGTGCTGCATGCAAAGTGCTGCATGCCCAGATCCTCGGGCCCACAGAGCCAGAGTACTTGGAGCTGATTTTCTAGGCAGTGACTATTAGGTGAGGGCTGCAGCTCGAAGTGGGCAGAGTAGTCCTGGGTCTTTTCATCCTCTGGTGAAACAGCCCGTTTTCCTGCGGTATCTCGGTGACACTTCAATGGGAACCAGAGCCTAGAGGACCGACCTCTGCACCCCCATCTCCTGCTGGGCGGGCCCAGGAACGGCTTCTTCCTGCGTCCTCCGGGAGCTGCCGCAGGGCGGGTCCGCGCTCTGCCCCTCCCAGGACGCGGAGCAGAGCCCGGCGCTCCCGCTCCTCCCCGTCCGGGCAAGCCTGGCCCGTGCGGGGCAGGCCCCGCTGCCGCCCGGCCCTATCAGACTCCTTCGCTCTCGGGCCCCGCCCGGCCTCGGCACCGCCTCGGGCTGGCGGGCCCGCCCCGGCCGCAGTCCGCTCTCGTTCCGCAGCATGGAGGCGCCGCTCGGCTTCCGCGGGCGCCGGGCGCTGGTGACTGGAGCTGGGAAAGGTGATGGGGGGCCGGGGCCGGGGCCGGGGCCGGCGGAAGCTCGGGCTGACGCCGTCTCCCCGCAGGGATCGGGCGCGCCGTGGCCGTGGCGCTGAGCAAAGCCGGGGCCCGCGTGACCGCGCTGAGCCGCACAGCGGCGGACCTGGAGAGCCTCGGCCAGGAGGTACCGACCGCCCCCCCGCCTCGGGACCTCCCGGGACCCCTCCAGGGCCGCGCCTTCCCCGCCCGCTGTAACCTGGCTGGGCCCCGCCGCGCCTCCCGCTCCCCTGGGGCCGCCCGACTCACGGGGGCCGCCCTCGCCGCAGTGCCCGGGCATCGAGCCCCTGTGCCTGGACCTCGCCGACTGGGACGCCACGGAGGCGGCGGTGGGCGCGGCAGGGCCCTTCGAGCTGCTGGTGAACAACGCGGCCGTGGCGGTGCTGCAGCCCTTCCTGGAGGTGACGCGGGAGGCCCTGCAGCGGTGAGTGCCACGGGGTCAAGCTGCCCGGCGGCCGCTGCCCCCGCCTGTGCTGAGGGGACGCTGCCGGCCGAGCCTCAGCCGAGCCCGGGCGCCAGAATATGGCAACACTGTCCAGAAACGGGTGTCTCCTAGAAAGGAAGCAGCTGTGCAATGGCACCAGACACGCACGCGTTTAAAAATGCTAGCGTTCCCCTACTTGATGAAGCTGTCTGGTTGCTACTGCTTGTGTCTGTTTACTGTATTTCGCACTTCTCAAAATCACCTTGCTCCCCATAAGCATTAAAAGGAAACCAAGTAAAGCACTGCCTAGTCCAGCTACTGAATAGCCAGAGCCTGTACTTTGACCTCATAGAAGGTGGTGTGCGCACACCAGCCAGCCTGTGCGGGACACAGGAGCACCTTTTGCTGTTAATCGAGCTCAGAGCTTCCAGTCTAGCTGCAACCCAACCTCTGCTAAATCGAAAGGCACTTGTTTTTAATTCAGATATAAAGAAGACAGAGCCAGGTAACGGAGTATAGAATTGCTATGGTGGGAAATTAAATTTGCTTGCTGCAATAACATGATACCTGTTTCTCAAAAGATCCATAGTTCCAATCAGGGGGCTAAGCTTTAGGATACAGGATGTGGCGAGTCTGCTTCCTTCTAAGAAGATGGGTCGTGCTTTGTCCCTGTGTTAAGAATTGCTTTTGCAGGTCTATAATCAAGGATCCATTTGTGACTAGACTATAAAACGTATGAATTCCACTGACTGTTCTGCAGAACTAGCAGGTAAAAACCTGACCAAGGAAGGCCTGTGTGACCCATCCTACAGATTTGCTGTTTTACTGCCATATGAAGGGTTTGATTGACCTAGGAAGAATCACTGGCTGAGGACCAGGGCTCACAGTTTAAACTTCAATAGAGGACCTACATCAGGCTGCTCAAGACCAGAGTCCTGCTGGACTAGTTCACCTCCTGCTGCATCCGGTGAACGCTTTGCTGCTGGGAGCGCACCCTTTCTTGCTGGCCACTCAGCTGCCATTCTTGCCCCTGTTCTAGAGTACCACCAGCATTTCCAGGACAGCAGCAGCAGCGCTTAGTCTCTGCTGCCTCCCAAAACAACTCCTCTCTGACCTGCAACCACTCTGCAACTTTTCAATTTGATTTATTTGTAGGTCTTTTGATGTGAATCTTCAGGCTGTGCTTCATGTTTCCCAGGTGAGAAAGAATTGTCACCACAGGTGTTTCCATGAATAGCAGTGACTAAGCTGTTCTACATAGTGGGGATAAGTGTCCTCTGTGGGGACTAAAGGGACTCTAACCCAAAGTTAACCCGACAATTTGCCCTTTGTTCTCACTTAGACTCTCTTTTGTAAGTGGAAGGCAGGGAGGACTTACTTCCTCTAGATGTTTTTGCTCTTTTGGCTACCATAATAGCCAGCAAGATTCCTCCTGAATGAAATAATGATTTCTCCTGTTATGATTCTGGCATCTCTCTTTGTTTTCTCCTCCTGCTTCCAGATTGTGGCTCGGCAGATGATTGCACAGGGGGTGGCAGGTGCTATTGTGAACGTCTCGAGCCAGGCGTCTCGGCGTGCTCTGCAGGATCATGCTGTGTACTGTACGTACGTGTGGTTTAGCAGCACCCCTCATATTTCTGACTGAGCTGGAGCCCCACAGCCACCAAGCTGCTGGCTGCCAGCTCTGGGTGGTGAAATAGTTATGTGTGTTTCAGACCAAGCGCTATGCGCTTAAATGCCTTGTGTTCTTCCCTTCTCTTGAAGGTTCCACAAAAAGTGCTTTGGATATGCTGAGCAAGGTAATGGCAATGGAACTAGGACCCCACAAGGTAGGATTCTTTCTGAGACAAAGAAAAGTGTGAAAGCTGAACCTGAGCACTTCAGAGCAGCCTGGTTAGATTGTTGCTCTTGCTTGATCCCAGATTCGAGTTAACACCGTGAACCCCACAGTGGTTATGACTGACATGGGGAGAATTAATTGGAGCGACCCTCAGAAATCTGCTGCCATGATTAATCGAATTCCACTGGGAAAGTTTGCAGGTCAGTGGTATAATTTGTTGTATCCAAGCCTTCCCTTTAACTGACATCACAGCCATAAGCAACTTGCTGCTTCTGTGGGAAAAGCTGCAGGTTTGCTGAATGGCTGCAGCTGAATTCCTGAAGCATTTGATGAGGACAGGATGAGAATCAACCTTATCTCCTCTCCTCTACAGCCCTCTTACGTTAGGAGAAGTGAAATGCACACTATGACTGGGAGGGGAGCATAAGTACTTGCTTTGAACTATGTATCACTTGATCACAACAAGGACTTTTTGATGTCCAGCTCTCAGCCACACTGCCCTGCATGCTGTGTCAAGCACAGGTTGGAGGTGGAGATATTTGCCTGCTCCCATTACAGCTAGAGGCCAAAGCATACTTTTTGGGATGTTTGTTTCTCTAGTACAATTTGAGGGGTGCATCAGATGTTCTCTCTCTTTGATTCCAGAGGTGGATGATGTAGTAAACAGCATTCTCTTCCTGCTGAGTGACAAGAGCGCTATGACAACTGGCAGCTCACTGATGGTTGATGGGGGATTTCTTGTCTCCTAAGATGACACCTGCATTTCACACCCGGCCTTAATTTCCATACTAGTACTTCATAGATGTAAACTGCATAGGAAACAATGACACAGACCCAGTCTTGCTGGAGAAGGCTGGAAGCTTTATGAGAAGTGTGGCAGAAAGCTACCTTTAGAAGATGGCTATATAATAAAGCTCACGTACACCGTCATGGAGAATGTTTATTGCACCAAATAAGGTTTTATCTTGTCACTCTACATGATGATTAGAAATTGGACCTTTCTTCCAACCCTATTCCCCCAAAACACCCCTTGAGAAGCTCTCCCTATTCCATCCAACTCCATAGAGCTGGCCTGCACTTTCAGTGGGAAGGGAAAGAAGAAGCTAGCAGACTCCTCATTGCTTCCTTTGTTGTCTTTAGTAGAAAAAAAACAAAACAGAGGCAACAACCACAGCCCTGCTCTGCAGAGACTGGATTAAGAGGGGGGGAGGCCCTGCTAAAGCCTGATGGGGGGGGGAGCAGCACCATGCTCTCCTAGTGTGTGCACACACAAAAAGGCAAGTACATCGATTGCACAGAGCTTTCATTCAGTGAGTTTAGCTAGTACCCAATAAAGCACCTAATGGTTAGTTCTTCATATCTCATTTACTTCGACTCCCTCCTAGGCTGGTTGTGATTTCTTTAACAGTCTCAGGCACATATCTGCTAGAGCACCTATTTGTTACCTGCTAGATACAGCAGGCTGGGCTAAGAGAGACCTTACCCCTCTCCCAGCTGCTCTTATCACACAGCACCATCATATCAGCTTCCTCCCCGCTCCCACAAGGATCTTCACCACCTGTTTCACCTGCAGGTTGTAGCCAGGCGTTTCCAAGACAGGATGGATGTCTCAGCCCTTTTAGCTTGGGGGTTCAGGAGAGCCAAAACAGCCTATTGCCCCAAGAAGCTACTTTGCCTTCCCCACTGTTCCTCCCCTGGGGGCTGTACAGCCCCAGCGAGTCTCCGGCCCCCGCTGCCCCTTCACATCAACACTGACGTTAAATCAAAGAGACATTTAAAAAACACTGACTTCGTACATGATGAAGGGCCCTACACATCCCAGCCCCCTCCAGAAACACCCAGCTAATATGCAATCTGTCAGAGGACAGCAACATGCTGAGCCAGTGCCTCCGCCACAGCCCTCAGAACACAGTACACTTTTTGCCAGGCTTCTTCACAGGCGGTGGGCAGAGCACAGCCCGGATGGCTTCATCGAACACTGTCTTCAAGCCCCGCTGTGTCAGGGCAGAGCATTCCAGGTACTTTACTGACCCTAGGGGGAAGAACAAGAGCTGCAGCTCAGCCACTCCAGTCCAACCAGGACATACTGTCCCTCAGACACTCCAAAGGAAAAGCTCAATGCCACAAAGATCTGCCAGCGTGTAAGACTCACCAATCTCCCGAGCCATGGCCAAACCTTGGGGGTAGGTGATGGGGGCCAGTTTCTTATCACGTAACCTTTCAATGGTGTCTTTATCATCCCTCAAGTCCAGCTTGGTGCCCACCAGGATGATAGGTGTATTTGGGCAATGGTGTCGCACCTCAGGGTACCACTGAAACAAGAGAGGCATGGTAAGAAAAGTAGCTGTAGTGGTAGCTGCAACAATGTGGATGCATTTATGATTAGGAATGAGGTTTTTACTACTATCTGACACAGTGGCAACACCTGAACAGGATACTTGGATACTTCTGCCTACAGTTCTGAGCTCTACAGGAAGAGACTGGTGTAGATGTAATTATGAAGGCACTGAGACATGGCACCATGACAGACACTGCCAGTCAACTCTGCACAGAGTTCTTCCCCTAACTGTATTTTAGCTTCCAGGACATCCTGCATCTTCTTTAAGACGCAGATTCAAAAAGGCTAAAAATTAGCCAAAGAAGTAATGAAGAAGAGGTAGACCTCTCTTAAAGCCTGCAGACTCTGACCTTTCTTTATCAAAACACAACTGCTAGAAATTTTGGGCTGGTATGTGTGGAGGGGCAGGGGATTCCACTGATCCTTCCCTTCCCCTGTTTCACCCAGAAGTGCAATACTTTACCTTGGCTCTGACATTCTCAAAGGAGGCTGGACTCACAAGGGAGAAGCAGATCAAGAAAACATCCTGTGTGGAAACAAGACGGTCAGCCATGTAGAAAGAAACAGCTAAAGATTATGGAGGGAGAATGGACAGAAAGCCCAATAGATGACAACCTCCTCCCGTAAGCAAGGATTGTGGCTATAAGAAATTCTTCCCCATTAAGGGTGATAAACTATTGAGAGAGGAAGAGAATGGACTTTTGAGTGTATGATTTCATCTTCTTTCACAATATTGGGCCTTGCATGTTAAGCACCCATGGCCACAAATACCTTAACACTGCTACAGGCCTCACCCCTGGCAGGGGAGCCAGGGAAACACAAGTGACCTGTGGCCCAACAGTTACCTGTGCCACTAAGAAAATAGGAGTATGGCTTGATGCACAGCAGCCCCACACCATTCCTTTCACATGAGCCTCCCTATGGCATGCATAACTTCAAATACCATCACGAAGCAAGGACTAGAATATGACAATCTCTTAGGAGAAATTCAGCTATGATACTCCTTAAACAACCAGAATGATGGCTGCAGCTGCAGGAATGTAGACTTTCCTCAAAGGAAAAAAGCCTGGCTGTTCTTGGGAACCTCCCTGACTCCAAGAGGGAGCAGTTAAAAGCCAGTCCAAGCTCAGCACTCACCGTCTGTGGATAGGAAAGAGGCCTCAGTCGGTCATAATCCTCTTGCCCTGCTGTATCCCAGAGGCCCAGATTCACTGGTTTTCCATCTACCATGACATTGGCAGAATAGTTATCAAACCTGCCAAGGAAGAGTCCCCATCAGTGACAGTCTGGTTGTCACTCACACATCTCCTTATGTAAAATCCAAGGGGGCAGTGAATCAGGAGAGGACACTGCAGCACAGTTGCAGTGGGGCTTGTCTGCCTTCCTCACATACACAGCCATCCCACCAGCACCCTCCTTGTGCTAGAAGTTCACAATCTGATTTGGGACAGCCTCCTCCCACCTACAAAACCAACTTCTACACACCCCTGCATGCAGAGCAGAAACCAACTGAAGCCCAAGGCCATTACTCACACAGTAGGGATGTATTCCCCAGGAAAGGCATTTGTGGTGTAACTGATCAGTAAGCAGGTCTTCCCTACAGCTCTGCAGGGGGCAAGAGTGACAAGCATTAAGAAGGGCACAGCAGGAAGCCCTATGGCAGCAAAACTCATCTTCCCCCACCCAAAAAGAGGTTAAGTACGTAAAAAGTTACTGAGAAAATAAAGTTACCATGTAAGAAAGCAAAGCTCTAACAGTCTGGAGCTGTCAGGGACTAGGCCTAAACTTGAACTGTGCACCTTGCCTGGGCCTGGCGCTCTCTCCCTCTTTTTCCCACCAGCCTCAGAACACCAAGCAAAAGTTGCTCCAAGAAGCAAAAGAGAGGGAATAAATTAGGGTTCTGTGCTAAGCTCAACACATGCATAATAATCTATCAAAATGAGCAAACAGTGAGGTGAAAAAACATGTGCCACCACAATTATTCAAGCTCCTCAGATATAGGAATTCTATGACAATAAATACAAGGGGAAAAATAAGTATCCGTAAACAAAACAGGCTTTAAAATTGACCACTGTCAGTTTGGAAAGAGATCAGTGTAGATCATTGCAAATACTAGCACAGGGCTTTGCTGAAGGCTGGTGGGATTGATAAACACATGAGCTTTCCTTAGCCCTGTAGCATCAGGGAAAAGCTTAGTTACAGGAACAGAGGAGTCCCATGAGCATAAACAACCTTCTTATAACTGTGAAAGCTGTGAAGTGAGGACAACCTTCCAGAGAAACAGATCATAGTGCCAGTGACAGGGAATGCTGTCTCTTCAGTGGCCAAGTGAAGCTGAACAGCCAGCAGAGGTGGGTATCCTCTACCCAGCTCTGTAACTGGAGTGGCATAAGGAAAGAATCCAGGAGTAAGCGAGACCCCAGGGAACCCCACAGTCCCACACCAGGATGACACAAAGCACAGCAAGAACCATCACAGCAATCCACCCAGCCTTTCCCTGGGACCAGGTCCCATCTCTTTGAGAACAGGGAGGTTGCATAAGGAGACACTGCACTGACTTCCCTCCTGAACCCTGACCTCTCTCCCAGCAGTCAGGAAAGGCACACGACTCATAAACCCCACATATACCCGTGACTGAAGAGTTTTGCTGAGTTAATTTAGTGTCTGCCCTGTCAACGTGCCCTTAAAGCAAAACTCTGGACTGCAAGCTTTCAGCTGAAGTCCACTTCCACCACGCTGTGCTGCTGCTCTCCCCTCCACAAGGCTGTGCTGTTTTGCCCGGTGGCTCTTTCTCCTGACCCCCTCCTTTTGCCCTGCAGACTAGAACCCGACAGGATCAGCTCAAGGTGAGGGGGTGACATGCATGGTAAGGTAGAAAGACCAGTCCCTGCCTAAGACCAGTTCCCATTTAGCTCTCCATATCTCAGCTCTGTGCTTGGCGTGGTGATCATAAAAGCAAACAGGAATTATGAGGAAAAATAGGCAGGACAAAGTAAGAAAAGTTACGGAGCAGCATAAATCTATTGTGCGCCTGCAGCTTGCATATAGGTGTGTTCTCAAAAAAAGGCATATAAGAAAAGCCTGAAGAGCAAGAAGGATGATGTGAGGCACATGGTGAAATCAGAAACAGCGTCGTATTTCACCTTAAAACACAAGCAACAAAAGGAGGTAAGAGAGAAACCTCCGAACATCAACATTTTTAGTGAGGACTTTGCGATGAATCAAGTTTGCCCGACGAAAAAGGCGAAATGACGGCTGCAAGCAGATTTAAGCCCCACGGAAAGGTGTCTGTGCTCCAGGCCAACCGCGAGCCCTGAGGCTCAGCAGCGCCTGGGGACGAAGGCCCATGTTTATGAACTGAGCAGGGAGCGGGACGCGCGGGGAAGGACAGCAGCGGCCGCCGCGGCAGCAAGGCCCCAGTCTCCCTTCCGCTCGGCCTCGGCTCACCGCTCCGACACCCGCGGCTGCCGGTGGGCGAGCGCGGCGCAGGGCCGCAGGAACCGCCTGCAGCGCTGCTCCCCAGGTGAGGAGCTACGGCGGGGCCAGGCGGCCGCGGACTGGCTGGTGCAGCCCCGCCGGGCAGCGGGCCGGG